CAGACCCTCCGCCTTTCCTAACGAAGCAGATTTTTTTTTCTTGCCATTGCCCTCTTTTCCTGCTGTTCCATTGCCCTCTTCCTGCTGTTGTAACACGAGCGGACTGGACTGGTGGGTGGACACGAACGGCCGAGTAGCCCAGACGACTTGTTCCTGCTGACCGAACTTCCTCCGCCTTTCCTGACGGCGTGGAGCTTATTTTTTTGCTTATTTCCCCCCCTCTTTTGCTGCTTTTGCGACACGAATGGACTGGACGGACGGACGGACGGACGGACGGACGGATGAGTAGCCCGGACGACGTGTTCCTGCTGACCTCGGCGGTGGACAACGAGGTGAAGCAGTACCTAGCCTTGGACGGACGGCTGCACATGGACCTCGACGTGCCCAAGACGGGCTTGGACGAGAACTTCACCAGGTCCTACTACACGTCCAGCGGCAGGTGGGAGTTGCGGTGGCTTTTTTTTTTTTGGGGGGGGGGTGCTGTTGGTGTGGTTGTCGAGCGGGTCGTGGTTTTCCCTCCCCCAACGAGAACGAGAACATAACAAGACCTGTGTCTGCTTTCCTCCTTCAATTAGGTCATGTACACCCCGTATTTTTTGTCTTGATCATGTTGATAAACAACCGCCTACGATGGGTGCTTTTGTCCGATAACATTAATAACCTTGTCCCTAACTATTCTTTTGCCAAAGTTAAACGGCGTGGTTTTCCCCGTCGTGCATGCATGCGTCATCGTCTGCCGTGAAACGACACTTCTTTGAAACGGCACCCGCGTTGAAACGACACTTATTTGAAACAGCATCTGCGTTGAAACGACACTTCCTTGAAACGGCACTTCTTTGAAACGGTACTTCTTTGAAACGGCACCCGCGATGAAACGGTTTTTTTTTCCCAGGCTCATCCTCTCGGGGTCCTCGGAAGAGCAGACGGTTCGCCTCTACTGCGCTCAGACGGGGCGGCTCATCCACTCGGCTGAGATGTACCCTGGTCGCAAGCACGGGTCGTTGTACGTGCAGTCCTTGAGGTGGGCACTCGTGCGTGGTGTGTATAGATATCATACCCCCTGGACCGATCTTCACAGCTCGATTTCTCCTCGGCAGAAAGCGTGGATGTGCAGAACATGGGGCGTTGGAACTGTCTCGTCGAGAGCTTTCCGAGAAACCCATCGTCTGATTCATGTGTCCTCCTCGTGGTGGCGTACTGTAAGAGGCGATGAGATGGCACCCCCCCTAGACCGTCTTTCAAAGCTCGATTGCCCTACAACCAAGACTGTCTGTACCGTACCGTATACCGTACCGTGGTATTCCGTAAGAGGCGGAGAGATGGCGCTCCTCCTAGACCGTCTTTCAAAGCTTGATTGCCCTTCAACCAAGAGGGTGAGGAAAGAGCCCGATACGTCCACCGAAAGCCGTCGACAAGATGTTTCCAAAACCAGAATTTGGGGTATTGACGCAATCTTGGTTGTGGAGCAATCGAGCGTTGAAAATCAGTCCCTTGGGGGTGCCATCCCTCCGCCTCTTACAGTAATCGAGCTTTGGCAACCGGCCCTGGAGGTGTGGTATCTTACGTCATGTCACCTACGGGATTTGTACGTGCAGTCGCTGGGGTGGGCACTCATGCGTGCATGTTCAGCATGTCGGTGTGGTTTCGTACCGTCTACAGTATTGTAGGCGCCAGTGTACCACACCTTTTGGTATGTGTTCGATGCGCCCGTCGGGGTCGCACAACGGGGGGAACGGGCTATACGAAATCATTCGAAGCACACGCAGTGGACTGAACACGTTTAAGGCTTTTGAATTGGACATGCGTAGCACACCACCTAAGAAGATTTTCTAGGTACTGGGCCCGAGCCCAACAACGCTGTTGCAGCAATTTATTTTTCTGTTTTGGTAGCACAACCCTCTCTCTCTTTATCTTGTGTGTTTATGTTTGTGTTGTTGTTGTCTACTACTCAGGGGTGACCCCCACCACGACTTCCAGTTCAGCGTGCTGGTCAACTACCGAGATACGGCGTACCCCCTGGAGATCGTCAACGTGGACATGCTGCAGGGGACCGACGGGTGAGAATTGTCGGAGGAAGTTACGCCCGGACGACGGTATTTCGCGTGGACCCTCGAATCTCGCTGTGTTGTCTTTTTGTGTCTTGCCTGGTCTCAGTCTCCCGTGGTCGTATTTGTTGTTGTTGCTGCCGCTGCTGCTGCGTTGCTGTTGTGAACAGTTGCCTTTTTTCGTTCGTGTGGGTGTTCCGGAGGTACCAGGCAGAGGCTAATCCGGTTGAAACACGAAGAATGCAATAGTGTAGTATCCAAGAGCCTGGGGGAAAAGTAAAATATTGCATCACTTGCGCTACTCCCCTCTGGGCGTGTGCTCGACAAAAGCAGCAGTTGCAATTTTTGACGGAATTTGTCCTCCACAAAGATATATAACGGTGACTGTTGACCCTTCCGAAGCCCCCCCCCCGTTTGTTTTCCAGCGAGGGCTTGAGCGCTCTAATGACCTCGTCCTCTCACCTCCTGCCGGCATGAAACAAACTGTTACTCCCGTTGACCCGGCATGTCGCTTCGTGCCGGCATTGTAGGGGTGCTAGGCCAAAGGTCTAACGACTACGGCATGCGTTTGCCCACTCCCCCCCCGTCCCCCCATTGCACCCCCGTGTTTTTTGCAGGGAGGACCTGAGCTCTCTCATGGCCTACGCCTCCTCCTCTCGACTCTCCGCCGACCTTCGGCGAGCCTGCGTGGACAAGCAGGGGGCCGACCTCTTTCTTGTGGCGAGAGACCGATCGCGCTTCCTCGCCCACAAGGCGGTTGTTGCTTGCCGCAGTGCTGTGCTCGGGGATCTCCTGGCTAAGGCTGCTGCTGCTGCGTCGTCGGAGGAGGGAAAGGGGGACGCTGCTGCGGGTAAGTTGTTGTTGTTGTTGGTGGTGGTGTTGCTGTTGCTGTTGCTGTTGCTGTTGCTATTGTTTTTGCCTGAGATTGTTAGCTTGGCCGTCACATGTTGCCATCATCAAGTTCCCTAGAATTTCCTCCTTTTTTTTTCAGCCTGAAGTTCCTACCTCCCCACGAGGTTCTACCAATGATGCGGTGATTGCGGTCTGCAGTCCCCCCGGCCTCGGTAGAGACGATCGTGCCCTGTTTCATTTCAAGCCATGGCGACCAAAAACTGCACCCCCGTGCTTGACAGGCTCGGCGAGCCTCCGGCTCACCATCCTCTCCGAAGAAGGCAACGACTGTAACGGTAACGGTAACGGTAAGGGTAGCGACAGCGGCGGCGGCGGCGGCGGCGGCGGCGGCGGCGGCGGCGGTGACGGTGACGGAGGCGTGTTTTCTTCGCTGGAGGCTAGTGCTACAAAGAAGGATGCCGAAGGAGGAGAAAGAGAGGACCCCGAGGCGGGGGTAACGACGACGTGCGTCTGCCTCCCGCGGGCCGTGTCGCCGGACATCGTGCCCGTCATCCTGGCCTACCTCTACACCGACAGGCTCCAGACCCACCCGGATAACCTCCGCGACGGGTGTGCGGAGGAGTACGTCGACCCCGGGGGGGCTTGCTCTAGCGGCGGAGGAGCCGCGGGGCCTGAGGTCGGAGGGAGCTGCAGCGGAGGAGGAGGGGGGGCGGAGACAGTGGGTGGTTGCCGGTCGTCGACGCCAAGGGGGGGAGGAGACCGTCAGGGAGTTGGGCTCGGCGGCGGGGGGGAGAGGGATTCTTGCGGGGAAGGGGCTACGACGAGAAGCAAGGTGATGTACACAGATGATGTTTTTGTGTGTTGACGATGGAAGTTTTTGTGTCTTGACGATGGAAGTTTTTTTTTTTTTTTGGGGGGGGGAGGTTCTCATCGCTTTTTGCTTTTGTAGCATACGTTTCCTGCCATGTTTTTTTTCTGTTCTTTGGCGCCTTCTTTTTGCTGCGGGGCGATAGCACTGTAGGTTGCATAAGGTACCACAGCCCCCGGTGGACCGATTTTGAAAGCCCGGATCGACTACTCTGCGGCACAAACAGTCAGGGGCGCCGCAGATGGCGGCGTTGGAACCGTCTCGTAGAGAGAGAGCTTTCCCAAAGTCCTGTTGCTTCATTTGTGGCAATCCGTTGGTAGAGGTTCAGCAGGCGTAGCAGTGACTGTCAAGAGAAGCTTCACGCGTTTGGCGCGGGCCAAGAAAAAATACCGTCCTTGGCTTGTCAAACAAACCCTTCCCCAACAATTAGAAACAAATGTGTCGATTCTTTTCACCAAGACTGCAAGCAGCTCGAGGATTATCTGCTGCGTTCTCGTGCGGGGCAATTTTGGTTTGGACTCTGCTGTTTTCAGATGGCGGTAACCTCCCTCCCGCTGGCTTGTCTGTCTGCAACCCCCCAGGTGGCGTTCTATGAGAAGGTGCTAGAGGCGGCGGGGGCCCTGGGGTTGCATCGCCTGAGGAGCCTCGTGGAGTGGGAGTGTCGCCAGCTTGTTAACACCACCACGGTGAGTGAGCTTCGTCTTACTCTACCGTGTTGTTGGTGTTGTGGTCGATGTTGTTTTTGCTGTTGTTGATGATGTTGTTGTTGATGATGTTGTTGTTGTTGTTGTTGTTGTTGTTGTTGTTGTTGTTGTTGTTGTTGTTGTTGTTGTCGTTGTGGTCGTTGTCGTTGTCGTCGTTGTTGTTTATGCTGATGCTGTTGCTGTTGCTGTTCTCTGTCGTGCCCCCTTTGGCCCACAACCAGCGAATGCCCTCATCATCTCTCTTTTTTGTTTTTATTCTCAGATACTGTCGGTGGCATCCGTTGCCCTGAGGCAAGGAACGGAGCAGCTCCTCAGCTTCTGCTTGTACTTCCTCGGCACTCACCTACACCCGGTTCTCGAGCTACACGGGGAAGGGTGCCTACCCCCCTCGATACAGGCTAAGGTGGGCGTGGAGTCAGTCGATCCCGTGCTATGCCGATTACCGTTGGTTGCTTGAGATATCGCGAGTCAGCGCACAGGGGTGCGAACGATTTTCAAAGCTTAATTTCACCGCAACCAGGAGGTTAGAATACCACTGCTGCTGTCGAAAAGGGCGCTTTTGGAAATATCTCATCGAGAGCTTTCCTGAGAAGCATCAGTTGGCGCTCGCACCCTCCTAGTTGTGGCGAAATTACGCTTTGGAAATCGATCGCACCCCTGTGCGCTGACTCGCAACCTTACGGTACTCAGAGTACAGAACGACTTGGTGTTTCGGTGCGTGCGAGCAGATTTTACCAGCACTACATACCAGCAGTTGGCACTACTCAACCGACACTATGGAGGTCCCTCGGCTGTACCACACGGACACCCTTGATACCCGTCAAGGGCCAAGTTGAGCGTGCAGTCAGTTGGTCGGTCCAGCGCTGTGCTGATTACCGGCAGGTTGCATAAGATAGAGATCGCCAACAGCCTTCGCTGATTACCCGTGGGTTGCACAAGATATGTCGCCAGTAGCCTTGGCGAGGATGTAACGTTGAACATTGCTGTCGCAGATAAGAAACACAAACGCCACCGCCACCGCCACACACGCCTCCCGAAAACCATCAAAATGTCTCTCGGTCTCAAACCTTTCTCTTCGGTTTTTGCCCCCCCCCAGGTGGACGAGCAGCGGAGACTTCGCGTTTACGCGCTACACGGCGACCCCAACCCGATAGCAGTACCGATAGCACCGTCGTGGATGACCGCAACCGCCGACACGATGACAGTCCCGTCGCCGCCGCTGAACCCAAGCGGTCAGGCTGGTGCCGGCAGCAGCACCGGCGCCGTTCTGAGGAACGGCCCTGGGGCTGGGCAAGGGGGGGCGGCGGCGGGGGCTGCGAACGGACAGCAAGACACCTTCCATGGCTTGGATCCCATGGAGGACGATGACGACGACGATGATGATGATGATCTCGGGATGCTGATGGAGGAGGAGGAGGAGGGCTTTGTGGAGGCAGCAGACAACAATGGCGGTGGCGGTGGCAACAACGAGGGCGAGGCTGCTGAAGGGGCCGAGGTCGACGACGGTTTCATCGACGAAGAGGTACATATGTGGCAAAAGCCAGAAAACAACCCTGCCTGATTTCTACCAACACAGCCTTCTGTTGGACTAAATAGCCCATCAGTATAAGGTATGACAGAAATCGTGCTCTCCTTTACCCCGCTCGAATCTAGTCGCATGCTGTAGTTTATTTTGGCTGGACTTGTTGGGCCCACGTTCGCCGCTACTCGGCTCTTGTTTGTAACTCAAATACTACGTTCCACGTATAACCCCACGACAACAGAAGCCCACTTGCTGTCTCGTTTGTTTTTTTTACATCCGTGTTTAGACACGACGCTCCGCTTGACACCCCACAACACCAGCACCGGCGTCTTTCCCATTCTACTTTCTTTTCGCGTTCGTGTTTTGTTTCCTTCACTTTTCGGCTCCCTATGAACAACGAATAAATAATCATTAACAGATGTTAACCGGAACGTTTTTTTTTATTGTGAAGACAACAATATTTATTAATTCCTCGTTTCTTCGCTTCCGGCCCCCTGCTAGCTGCGAACTATCAAATAACCCGTGTAAGACCTTGTTTGTTTCTTCGTTTCTTCGGGTTTTGATGTTACCCTGTGTTACCACACAGGACGAAAGGCCGATGTAGAAGATGGCGAGCTATCGAGTGACGTGGCGTGTGTACTGCTGTATTAACTTTTGTTTGGCATCCGTGATTTGATGATATCTCTGCCTCCATGTGCCACACCAAAGGTGGACGTGGGAGACGACGAGCTCTCGAGCGACGTGGCGTGTTAAGGCGTGCTTACTGTCTTAATTCTCGTTTTGACACCCGTTTGTTTTTATGTCTCTGCCTCCATTTGCGACACCAAAGGTGCACGTGGAAGACGACGCTTATAACATCTTCTCGCGTTCCCGTTTTTGTTTTCCCTCGACACGAAAGGTGGACGTGGAAGACGACGAGCTCTCGAGCGACGGGGAGACGCTGAGCGTCGAC